TCTCAAAGAACCATTCAACCTAAAAGCTTAAGCTGTTAGGAGAGGTCCTTGAATAGGTTGATATTCTCTAACACTATTAATAATAGAAAGAAAATCATAAGAAGCAAATACACAGGAACTGAAGAAGGAATTTTATCTTTTTGTTCTCAACCTTCTCAGAACACATTTGCACCAAACTCTTCCTGTTCTAAGTCTAAATAGAAAATATAGAAAGATTCCATTTTTAGTCCCACTTTCTTGGTTATCACAAATTTGATCAATCTGTGAAGAAAACAACAGGTTGTTGAATCTGACCTAGAAACCTTTATAGGTCAAGTTGCACATATTTTTTTATTGGTTCAAATTGCCTGTCTTAGATTTTTCCTATAAATTGTCATAAAGATGCACTCCATCTCCTCGAGTTATTCCTTTTAAGTTTTCAGCTCGCCTACCGATTAGGATGGAGTATCAAGGTAACTTGGTTGGTCTCTTTGGGTAACTTCAGGTCCTTTCTCATCCTAGAGAGGAGATGTTATATATCTGGGATTTCATTTCTAACAATAACACTCTTTGATACGATATTGAAGATCACTTCCAAATTGTGATTAGGCAGATGTTAGCAAATTGGTAAGGTCCTTGGTCCCTTGAGTACCTACTCAGATAAGCTAAGATGTTGGTCTCTATGACAAACAGCCTGTTTGGATGGGCTCTGAGATGTGTTGGTTATGCAGGGATGGTATAGAATGAAATGTGCTTTGAGTTCTTAGATTAATTGTCTAGCTGATGTGGGTTACTGGTGGGATCAAAAATTACTATAGATGTGGACATGGACCTATATGCCATTTTAGACAATTCCCTATTATGTGCAAACCAATGGGGCCTAATAGGCGTCTATATTTTAGTGGTATTCCTTTCTGGTAATAATTGCACAACCAACTTGGTGCTAAATAGGGCTGTCAATGTATTAATGTTGCTCCAAGCCAATCGATATCCAATCCAATTAAATTGGTTTAGATGTATAATGTCCACTAAACTAATTAAATTGGATTCAATTCAAACCTAAAGTTAATACTAGTTATTGGATTAACCCAAAACCTAAAGGTAGTACATAGCCATCTCTCTATAGTCTCATGAAAAAATATCCACTCTCACTCAAGCCTAATCCAACACAACCAGTGGCTTAAATAAGCAAAATACCCAATATTATCAGAATTATAGAAGTCCCCAAAAGTTTATCAACATTACAATTATGCGTTGTGAGGGCAGAGATGGGGGTTAGTAAAACATTGGGATTGTTTCTCCGGGGGGGAGGGGAAGAGTTTGCGAGGAAGGCTTTTAAAGAATTGGAAGAAAAGGGTCAAGAGAATAAAGAAAGGAAAGAGAAAACAGTTGTTTTCAAAGAACTGATATTGATTCTTTCAGACACTGGGAGATCATCTAAAGTTGTAAGAATTGAAAGCAAAGAGGATCAAGAGGTGGAAGCAGTCCAGACCTTTGAGAAGAATGCGGTCTTCAATAGAGAGGATTAACACTGCTCATAAGGATCATATGGAGCTCAAGAAATTCACCAACGCAGTAAGATGCTTTTGAAGCCAAAAAAAGCAGAAAGTAATGCAGGTTTCAAAAGTTTTCACTATATTGAAAGGAGGTCTTTTCAGGGTTGGGCCTAATAAGAGGGTGAAGAAAATGAAGAGAGTACATAAGAGAAGGGATTTCCAAGAAACTAGTAGGTGATGCAAAGTAACTGGGTAGAGGATTAATGCAATTTTGTTTTGGAAACTAGTTTTTCTCATGATAGTGGGTCCTTGTAGTTTTGCTGTTGGGGTCTAGTGATATATTTTAATTGTGTGGAAAGAAGTTGTTTCATTGAATTTGTTTGATTATAAGTTGTTGAGTTGGGCTGCAGGGAAAATTTCTGCAATCTTCATTGGGTCAGTAACCTTGGTTGTTTGAGTCTTGGGTTATTTGTTATTCAGGAGGAGGATATGTTGGGTGGGAAGTTTTTATTCTTTTTTGTCCTCTCTGGTGACCCCTGGTCATCTTTCTTGTAATTCTCTCTCTCTCTCTCTCTCTCTCTCTCTTTTCTTTTAATAAAATTTTCATTTACCTTCAATCTAGGGCCTTCCGGTATTGGTGGAGTGTTCAAAGATGAGAATGGAAATATATGTGGCTTGTATTCAGGTCCTATTGATCAAGGTGACTCAGTGAGAGCTTAATTCTTGGCTGCTATTGTTGGGGTGCAAAAAACTAAGGATATGGGAATTACTAGACTGATTCTCGAAGGGGACTCCAAAATAGTTGTTGGCTGGTTGGAAAAAGGAGATGGGGTTCTATGGCAATTCAGAAATGAACTCATAAGATTCAAGATGATATCAAGAGATATGCAAATCCATGTAAGATGGGTTAGGAGGTTTGCAAATGGGTTGGCTAAGCAAGGAACTCATGGACAGCATTTGTTTTGGGATCAATGTTAAATGTGTGGGGGGTTCTTTGCTGTAATGGGTCTTTGGCCTAACAACTTCTTGCTGTATTTTTTTGTTCCTTAATCTTAATAAAATTTCTTGAGTTGCCGATCATTTTTTTTTTCATTTACCTTCAGAAAACATTCCTCCAACACTTGAAAGAAAACCCAAATACAATATCTCTCTACATCCTTCTTCAAACTTGAGGTGGGGAAACCAGCTTGAGTTTGCAAGGAAGGATGTTTAAGCAGCCTCCATAAAAGTCAAAGTGCTAAAGGAAACCACCAGCCGGAAGAGGCCTAGGGAGTAGAAACCAAAGTTGACTATATAACAGCTGAACAAGGTAACACAACATGATATGAGCTTGTGCCGGAAAGCCTGAGTAAAGCCAATTCATGATCCAATAATCTCCAAACGGAAGCTAGTCAATAGAGCCAACTATGTCTTATTCATAGTTTGGGAAAAACACAATGTATCAGTAAGCTCATTGCATAACAAATCAGCAGTTGGTTATCAGAAAGCCAACCCATAAACAAAGCATAGAACCAAATACCATGCCAAAGAACTGAAATTAGCCATCAAAAGGCCAATTGCAATTACAGAACCAAAGAACCAACCGTGTTAAATAACTAGATATTCAAATATGCCAATATAATTACCAAATTGAATTGGCCAGCAGAAAGCCAACTAGAATAGCAGTTTGTGTAGAGTCCATTTAATCTAGTGAGTCATACAACTGGATTGAATTTTGGCTGGAAAATCTTCTAGATTGTACCATGATCATGATAGATACGCTATAGTATTTCAAGTGTAATATTGTAACTAAAAAAAGGGTGTTACCCAATGTTGGTCCTGGCAATCTGAGTTCTTGGGAGGAGTGTACTAGATATAGACCTAACCTCTGGAATTTGTAACATGAGGTGGATACTCAGACTTGAACATACATTCTCATGATTGTCATCCCAAGAGTTTACCATTGTGCCAAGTGAAATACTGGAACTGAAGTCCATAATTCCCCCTATGGAAAAGATTACCATAACCTTTTTGGTTCTTGAAGATCTGAATTATATATATTTACTGTTTCAATCACTTCGCTACAAAATAAACACCTAAATTGTTACAGATGTGGCTAATGATGGAAAACACTTGCACTAGTCTCACTGCCTTTACTCCTATTTTGCAAAGCTGCAGGTCCACCTTCTATTTTTGTTAATGCCCAGGAAGAGAACAAAAGGGCTCCTATGGAGTATGGAACCAAAGTGTTCAAAAGTGAAGAGAACAAAAAGATCAATCCATCCACGGTCACTAATGCTAGACCTGCATTTGGAGGTGTCATTGACATCAGTGATAGTGATGATGAAACGTGTACTACTACTGTTCCTTCTACTAACATTGGGAATGCTGGAGAAACTTCTACTTTGGTTGAGGAGCTGAAGTGTTTAAAGTGGAGACATTCAGATCAGAGAGGAGGAAATGATAGAAACTGTGAGGAGAATTTTCCATTCACTTCAACATCCAAAAGGAAGCGAATTATCAGCATTGAGAGTGAGGGTGATGATGATGAAGATAAAGTTTCAATTAGTAAATATATGACAAAGAAACATCAAGAGTTAGGTCGCAAACCCTTTTGTTCTCCCATGACTCATTCTGTAGCTCCTATTGTATTTTCTCAGGGTGACAATGCTGAAGAATCAATGGCTGCAAGACAGCATCTCATCACATTAAGAAAGTGTGAAGAAAAAATGGGTGAAACAGAAAAGTTCTCTATGAGTCAATTGGGGAATAGTGCATCTAAATATCAGAATCCATTAAATAAAACTGTTAAGCATGCTGAAGAGGATGAGATGGAAGAAACTGGTTCAGAAGGTGAGGGTGAGAGCTTGGGTGGATATATTGTTAATGGCTTTGGTGATTCGAATTGTAAAAGTGCATCTAGTGATTCAGATTGTGTAGTGGAGAGTGAAGCCTATGAACATATAGCATCAAGGACCCAAAGAAGCAAACGTGATAAATTAGAATGGGAGTATGTGGCAGACATGATTTCGTCATTTGACAAGGATCCTAAACTCTGTATGAAGGCTGTTTGTGCTCTTTATCGGCAGCAAGCATCCAAGGAAAAATCAATTAAAGGTTCATTATGTTCTAACAGCCAAGGGTTTAATAAGCTTGATGCACTCAGGTATGCATTATGAATATTACTTTATTATTTTTTCCATTGACAGAAAAAATAATTATAAAATGTTGGTACCTTGCTAAAACTCAGGTATGCATTATGAATATTTTCCCATAACTATATTTGAAAGTTTCTAACTCAATTATAAAATGTTAACAACATATTGTCTCGTTTAAAACTCTAAATTTATATTGGTACCTTGCTAAAACTAAATCATCCTTGCTCTTACCCTTATCTTTAGGAGAACTTATTTTTCTTTCACCTGTTAACAATACAAACTAAATATGCATTTTTTTCAGAAATCAGTAATTTTTTAGTGAACCCCTTCACCTTCAATATGCATATGTACCATAATATATTATTGTAAAATAACATATTGTACCCTTTCTGTTTTATAACTTTTCAGGGCACTCCTTGTGCCAATGTGATTATGACTTCACTATGAGCTCTGATATAGGATGGATAGTCCTTGGTAGTTAGGTTGGCCGATGATTTAAAGGGACGACTCATGAAGGTTAATTGCAACTTTAGGAGGAGAATTTATTAGAGTTATCTAAGAGGATCCAATTTTTTTATAGTAAAGGAGAAGAAATGTTTTGTTGATAAAAAGAAATTTTAACTCCTGGTGAAGAGATTTTACCAACATCAAACAGACCTTGTCTACAACTCAACCTCACATAACTGTCAGGCTGAGATAAAAAATACAAACCCCAGAACCCTCATCATGCCTTTCTGGACTCAAGACTAATACGGTACATATTTTTATCCCTTCTGTTAATGTCTTTGAATTCCAGATGTCAAAAAATACAATACCCATTCTGCTGCCATTGTACAAATATCAGCCACTGATTATCTTTTTGTTCTATGTCTGTCTTCAAAGAATCTTATGTTCCTCTCATTCCAAACCCCTCAGCATACAGCAGAAGGGATAAACTCCCTTAAATATTCAACTTTTTACCTCCACAGGCTCTACTTTCTTTGGGCCAGACTGAAAATATTTCCTCTCGACGTGAAGGAAATATGCTTTGCTTCTTAAATGTTATGAAGATCTCCCAAAGAAATTCTACAGATGAGCACTTTCCGAATAAGCGGATAAAACCTTCCTCTCCCCTTTTGCACATTACACACATATTTGGAAAATGAGAATTCCTTCTTTTCAGTTGATCCAATGTTAAAATACTATCCAAAGCCATTAGCTAAGCAAAAACTTCAGCTCTACAAGAGATGGGATTACCCCAAATCCCTTGTACGCCATTCCTCTCATCCATGTTTCTTATTTTTTCGGTAGTAAATAAAAAAGAAAAGTCATTAATATTGAACAAAAAGTACAAGTGATGGGCGATCACCCAAAATAAAAGAAAATACACAAGAGAGAGAAAAGGGAAATAAAAAGCAAGATAACAATTCAGAAAATGTAATCCTCCTTTCCAGTTCTTAAAAAGACTAAAAATCTGACCAAAAGATTCCTTTGAAGCCTTCGAAAATATGGTAGAATCATTGTCTAATCCAACATCCCGTTCCCAATGATTGAACAAAGTTCTTCCTTGCTCTTTGATTTGCCATCAAACATTCTTCCATTTCTTTCTTTCCAAACCTCCCAACAAACTGCAAATGGGATGCAAGACCATACTAATTTTGCTTTCTTGTTCTCATGTAAAACAGGCCAACAAGAAAAAAAAATTCTATGGAAGATCTTGAAGACCAAATCTCTAAGCCAAAAAGTCTGAAGAAGAACCCCCAAATAACCCTTGTAAAACAGCACCCAAAGCATGGGTGAAAAACGTCCTCCCCATCATCCATCAAATCAGGTCTTCTCTCCTTAGTTTCTTCTTTCCTCTTTCTTCATTTCCATATGCTTTTTTCTCATTTGTTTTGTTGTTTGTCTCTAGTCTTTCAAAGTCGTTTTCATCATCTCCTTCTCTAGCTGTTTTGTTGGTTTGATATGCAGAAGTCATTTTCATTTTGTTTATGTTGACATACTTGCTTAAAAGCAGGGCAAAGTGTCCTAACAATAGTGTATTAGGGAATGAGTGTTGGCGTTTCATAAGTTAAAAAATGTTAGTTTTTTTTTACAAATTTTGAGTGGATTGAATGGTTTGATAGTTTAATAGTTAGAATGAACAGTTTCTGGTCCCAGTCAATTATTTTTAAGGTTGACCCCGAAAATTTAATGGTTCAACTATTGGGTTATATCCTGTTCTTAAAACATTGCATACAGGGTATTGGGCTAATATTCTTTCAATAAAAACATCACTATAGAGTAGCTTATCTTTTTGTTAGACCTCCCAAAAACCTACCCTGTGGCAATTTAGCCAGAAAAAATCATTAAAGACCCAAAATTTAGTCCAAACCTTCCCTTGCCCATTGAAGGGAATTTCTAACTGGTTATTAGGTGAGGAATTTCGTCCTTAGCCTTTTATTTTGCTTCCTTAGGACTACATAACCAAAAATAAAGGGCACATTTGAAGTGCTGGACAAGGTGTTGGATACAAAACTTATACTGAAAATTAAAGTATGATGCTAATCACCCTAAGGAGTCCAAGAGTCAATGCCACTTTTTTTGGCCTTAGTCTCTAAGAAGTCTGATGCTCATCACCCTAAGGATTTTAGGCCAATTAGTTTGGTGAGTAGTATGTACAAAATTTTAGATATGGTTGTCTCTGAGGCTTAAAGAAGTTTTCCCTTAATCAGCCAAGCCCAAGGGGTTTTTGTACAAGGGAGACAAATAATATACCAGGTTGTGATTGCTAATGAATGTGTAGAGGATATGAAAAGATTTAAAAGAAAAGACTTTGTCTGTAAGTTGGATTTGAAAAAGGCTTATGATCTGGTGGATTGGCAATTCCTTCTTCAAGTCTTGAGAAATTGTGGGTTTGGGGTATTTGGTTGTATTAGTTCCTATCATTACTCTATCTTGGTTGACGGAGTTGTGAAAGATTTATTCTCAACTTGTAATAGGCAAGGGGAATCCTCTCTCACCGTTCCTATTCACCTTAATAGCTGATGTGTTTAGTAGAGTGATCTCAAAGGCTGCTAGGGAGGCAAGGTGCCAACCAGCTAGTTGGTAAGGTCTCCTACTAGTTGTAGTGGAGACTTGGGGTCGAATCCCGCCTGCACCTGGGTTGGAGGATGGGCTACCCCCGTTGTGTAGCCCCTTGAAGCAAAAAAAAAAAAAAAGGCTGCTAGGGACGATGTAGTAAGTGGGTGGAGAATAGGCAGAGATGGCATTCTAGTTACCCATTTTCAATTTGTAGATAACATACTAATTTTCTGTGATGGGGGTGATCTTGAAAAGGTGAGGAATCTAAAGGAGCTGGTTAAAAGCTTTGAGAGGATTCCAATTTGAGAATCAATCTTGGAAAGAGTTATGTAGCAGGTGTCAATTTGGAGATTAGACAAGTGGAGGCTATTGCAAGGTGTTTAGAGCGTTCCATTTCTTCTTGGCCCATGAGCTATCTAGGGCTTCCATTAGGGGCAAACCCTAGGGAGAGTATTTTTTTGGTGCCTAGTTGTAGAAAGGTTTGAAAAGAAATTGGAAGGTAGAATCACCTTGATAAGAGACACTTGCTAACCTTTTTTTCCAAAGTGATCCTTTTCTTCCTTTGCAACATGTCACAAGTATTAATTGCACCATGGGAAACTTCCCAACAAAAAGCTCCCACTTTGGGGGGAATAGGCCAACACCAAAATTCTTTAACTAGGAAAGGCATAATAGGTGAGTTAGAGGAAGATAAGGCCTTAGAAAAAGAGGCACAAGTGAAATCCCTGAAAGGATGAAGAGTTCAAAGTCTACTATCTTGTTTACTAGTATCAAGAATAACTCCATCTAGGACTTGTACAAGGCTAGACACAAGGCCCAATTCTGAATTCCTCACATTCCTGCGGAGCCCCAAGTTCCACTGAACTCCGATAGAGATAGAGATTGATTAAGAAGTTTGGGACTGACACTGACTTGCCTTTGAAGGAAGAAAGGGCAAACAGAGACAGGTATATATCCTTTAAGGATGTGTTTGGTTTGAAGGAAAAAGTAGGGAAAGGTAGGGAAACCTTTACAAACCTTGTATAGGTTTTCATACCTTTCCCTTCCTTTTCCTACCTTTTCCTTCAAACCAAACATATCCTAAAGGAGTTTCTTCCCACCCACACATCTTCCCAAAATTTTACTTTGTTATTAGAGTTCGGATTATGCCTGGTATAACTTAGGAATAGGGGAAGAACATTCTGAATTGCCTTCCATGGTGAAGCACTAGAAGCCTTGCTAGAGATTCCAACATCCCAGCCAATCTATGAGAGCCCATGAATGCTAGCCACCGCCTTGTGTCACAATCTATCCGGTTCCTTGGGAAATCTCCACAACCACTTACGTAACAATGCCACATTCTTTTCTTTCAATCATCCTAGACCTAACTCACCAAGATCCTTCCTTTGACTCACTATTTCCCACCTAGTCATGTGATCTTTCTTTGCTTCGTCTGGTTCCCACAAAAAAATCTCATTCAACTTTTTCTAATTTTTTCACTGTAGCTTGAGGCACGCAATGTTGGAAGGGTTAGAAATCAGGTTTGACATGGCCGGACCAGGTTTGGTGGCTGGCCAAATTTACAAAAATTTTCTAACCCAACCCGGGAACCAATTTCCTGATAATTTTGAAATCTGAAATTTCTGGATCAATCTTGCACTGAACCAGACCAGATTTGAAACCCAAATTAAAATTGAGCATACCTGATACGGAGGCCACAAAACATAGTTCCCAGAGTGGTAATTCACGCCCAATATCAGTCCCAAAATCGGCCTCCAACTGAAGATGGAGCAGTGTGTATATGAAGCCGATTCAACAACACCGTTCCGGCAAAAACCAGTCTCCAATTTGCTTGGATCAAAGTGGGTATGTGAACCTGATGTACCCTGATGTTTTTCTTGTAAAAACACAGTAGGGGACTGATAGAAATCATTCCCTAACAATGCTAGGTTGAATTAGGGTTTCTGGGAGGCAAGGGAGAAGAGGA